GTAAAGAACCCAACTGCCAATGCAGGAGACATAAGAGACTCGGGTCCAATTCCTGGGTCAGGAAGATCCCCTGGAGGAAGGCATGGCAACCCACTTCAGTATTCTTGCCTGGAGAATCCCATGGACAGATGGAGCCTGGCGGGAAAAACCTTTTTCAGGTATATCTCAGTAAACTTCCCTTTGCATTTTATTAGATAGATTTGCATCACACACCCATGACTCAACCAATCCCCGATAAAGAGTTTGGGACCACTAAAGTGATGACTTTGCTGCAGTGTTTCTCAACTTTGGCTTTTGGGGAGGGATAATTCTTTGCAGTGGCAGTGCTGAACTGTTTACAACAGTAGCATGCTGTTGAGTAGCATCCCTGGCCTATCCTGTTAGATGCCAATAGCAATTCTCTCCAAGCTGTGGCAATCAGAAATATCTTCAGATGTGGTTGAATGTCCCCTGGGGGACAAAATCTATCCCTGCACTGAGAACCACTGGCTTAGGTCAGTCATTGTTCATCCCATGGATCTGGGCCCATCTCCTCTGAAACATGCAGAGAGTGCCCCAGCCCAGGATTCTGTTAGCAAGGAAGAAAAGGAAAATTGCTATTTTATAGACAGCCAATGGACAGTGACTCCTCCCTTCCCCTATCATTTTTTTTCTTGCCATTTTTCAATAAACAGATCAGAGCCTTATCAAAAATATGAAAGATATAAGAATGAGTTACCTGATATTACCCGATGAATGCTAGTTTCTGTCTAAATGCCAGGTGGGTAGTATTAATATAAATATCCTTATGTTTATATTATTATAAGGCAAATATATTAATTATATGTAATAATTAATATAGTAATAATGTAGTGATATATTATATATATATATGATTAATTGGTGAATCAGAAAATTTGGTCAAAGGTAATTTGTATCGAAGCACTAAAATCATGACTGGTTGATTGGGTTTTATAGGATGTTCCTACTGTTGGTCATTTTCTGGTACTAAGACCTTAGGTTTTGATTTTATTCAGGTTCTACTTCTACTGTACAAGACCTTCTACTCTTGTTATTTTTATTAGTCATCCATTGATGATGAACTTATCCATCCTGTATTAAATTCTTTGGTTCGAGTAGGTATGACTATTTTAAATAATTCGACAGATATGTATTGGATGCCCATCATTGTCAGGCATGGATTCTGTGAAGGAAAGTGACAAGGCTGAAATACTACACAGAGAGTTAGAGAAAGCTCTGAGGAAGTAACATTTCAGCCAAGACAGGGTCAGAATGGAGAGAAACTGAGGGAGGGGAAATTGCTACGGATCTTTGTGTTGGTGTGGTTAGAAGCTGTCATCTGAATGCTGCTGAAAGGTCAGAGGGCACTTAACAACAATGGGCTTGTTTAAGGGCAATACCTTGGAGGGAGGAAGACCTGAGAGCTTGATTCGATTTTGCCTTGGCATTTCCCTAGAAGAGGTTGTTGTCTTTTACTTCCCTTTTTAAGTGTGCAGGTCACCATAAAGCAAGTTGATCTAAGGGACTTTTTTTTGGAGAAGTTAAATTTATTTTCAAAATTATAATACCCTGATGCTGGGGAAGATTGAAAGCAGGAGGAGAAGGGGAAGACAGAGGACGAGATGGTTGGATGGCATCACCAACTCGATGGACATGAGTTTGAGTAAGCTCCGGGAGATGAAGGACAGGGAAGCCTGGTGTGCTGCAGTCCATGGGGTTGCAAAGAATTGGACACGACTTAGCAACTGAACAACATCAACGAATTACAAGATATACTCATCTTTCTTGGCAGTTTGCTGCCCTGGTCCCTCTGTTTCCCTTTAGTTGCTCTTCTGTTTATCACGAATGAAGTTCTTTCTCCTGGCTGAGTAGCCTTTGCTGTCTCCCATCACCATCACCATGCTTCATCCGTGCACACCCCGGGCATAAGCCCAGTGCTTCACACATGCTCCAGTGACTTCATTCAAGGAGAGGTTAACTGCATGCCTTAACCTGTGTAAGCCTTAAATTTTGGAAAGCACTTTCACTTTTCTCACTTGTTTGAGCTTCATGGTAATACAGTGGACTAGGAAGGGAAAATCATAATCACACTCAGGAAGCTAGTTTTGCAGTAAAAAGGGGCCTAGAGACAAAGTCCAATGGAGCCTGCCTTTTGGTTTCCTCTGTCCTGAATGGAAGAAGTAGGTTGGGTTAAGAGTTTGGGGTTGTGGAGGAAGATCAGAACATGTTTTTCTTTTGAGGTAGGAGTGAGCTATTGAGGAGCCATGATAGGTTCTTAGTTTTTATCTGAGTGGAGAGTCTGGGTCTATACAAACAAGTCCATTGAACTGGGTCTTAATTTAATGTGACGTTTGCTTGCTGGTTTGAGATGACTAAGTTCTAATCATTGATGAAATAACCAAAGTAATATACCAATACTTTATAATATTTAGACCTTCTCAGCTGCTGTGCCCCCTGAAGTCCCTTAATCTGTTCTTCTGTCAGCACTGCTTCAATCCCACAACCCCACTGTGCCACACAGGTACAAGTCAGGGAACTCCCTCCCAGGTGTGAGGCATTGCACTGGTCTACTAGCTTTTTTCAAAGTTTATTCCCATTGTACAGATGGAGAAATAGAATCAAAGAACTTGTCTCAAGTGGTTTCATTGCCTCCTATTCTGATTTTTCTCTTAGACTAGTGCTATTCAAAAAGTGTGGCCTACTAGGCAGCTTTAGAGTCAGTCCATGATAAGAGCAGAAATGAGAGGAAGAGTTTCAGAAACTTTACTAGCAATTTGACAGAGTAACTTTATGTGTGCTGAGTTTAATAATCAAGAATTTGGGCTGTTTTAAACAACAATTTCATATTTCTAGAAGTTTTAGTCAGTTATACTACATTTTACAAAATAGTTCACAATGCATTAAATATTAAAAAAATCCCTGCATGACTGGTTCTCAATCAGAGACTGTTTGAAAAACACTGCATTAGACCAGACAGTCTTTAATCAGACTCTTACAATGAAGATGTACTGGCCACATGGAAACCACTGTCATTTAATTTTGATATTTGTGTTTTTTGCAGTTTCAGTGTCTTTAACCCATCTGCAATTTCCAAGAACAGTACAGTGAGTGATACGGTAAGAATTCTGGGGTCCTTGTTCAGTTTGGCTCTATAATGAGGCAGGAGGTAGATGGGCCCCAGGCTGAACAGTCTCTCCCTTGAGGAGAAAAACTCCAAAACAGTAGGAACTCCATAAAAGCAGGATAATGGAGGAGTCTGGGGCCTTTCCAGATAGAAGACGTGTGCATGCTAAGTCGCTTCAGTCATGTCCGACTCTGTGCATCCCTGTGGACTGTAGCCC